GTCCAAGCAAGAGCAGATTCTTGCCCAAATGGCTAGTCTTTGCCATACTAAAAGCAAACCCATAAGGAGCGTCTTCTATGCCCATCATTCTCTCTGAAGTAATTGGCTCTGCCAGGAGCAGACATGTCTCACTGTCAAGAAAAGTCTAAGTTCTTTAAAAAAAAATCTTAAATGTCATATTGTGTAGATCTTTGAGGTGTTTGAAGATTACCTATCCATCTGAAATATATTTCTGCATATCTAGAAAACCCAACTAACATGACTATAAGTTTGACTATTGTAAATGACTTTCTATTAATCTGTAATCTTAGCTGGGTGGTGGTGGCACATGTCTTTAGAGGCAGGTAAATTTCTGTGAGTTCTAGGCCAGCTTGGTCTACAGAGTGAGTTTCAGGACAGGCTCCAAAGCTATACAGAGAAACCCTGTCTCCAAAAAACAACAACAACAAAAAAATCTGTACTTCTTAATTATACATTTTTAATTGATCTGTATAAACACAATGCCTGAAACAAGAGTAGAAATATATATACAGTATAACAAAATTAACTTTAAATTTGTATCAATAAACTAAAATCCATACCAGTATAAAGTATTCATGTCTATATCATATCCCCCCCCCTTTTTTTTTTCTTTAGAAAGAGATTGACTGTGGCCATTAACCATTTGTAATAAGCCCCCTTTAAGTGAACACAAACATTTATAAACAGTGTTTGGGGATTTAGGTGTAGTGTTCTAGGCTACTTCCTGCTAATTGTTGTGCACAGTAACCTTGTAGGGACCCTGAAAAAATTTATAATTATGATCAAGTCTTAGTTGGGGTATTTTGTGTGATTGGTCCATCTCAGGCAGCAGTCCTGAAGCTATCATGGATGTTTGGACCACCTGGACCATCGTTTTGGGGGGTCTCGTTTGATTAAACCATATTAGCCTGGAAGGAGACCACAGCTTTTTATCTTCTGTGGAAACTAAAGCAGAATCTCTTTTCCAAAGCAACACATCTTTCAAATTTTGAAGTTAAGATACCTTTAAAATATACGTATTGGTTTAGCTTAGCAGCCCACAAAATCAAATGTCTCTCTGCAGTTAGCTCTTTAACGTCAAAAAATTCAAAGAAAACACAATAACATACATAATCCAGACTTTCTGTATATTTTCAATCTTTAAATGGTCCGTTATAATTTTTTTACTCTATTTGTCCTTTAAGGATCTCGGGTTTTTATCCTTAAATTATTTTCTTATCCATGACTCTGTCTATCTTATATCCTTTCTTTCCTAAGCCCATGCACATTTACACGACACTCTGTGACCCATTTAGAGGTCTATTTGTCTGAATATTGTGAATCTGTAATCTTTTTCTGGCCAGGAGAGTTTTTAAAATGGTAAGTGCACTTCACTAGAACTAAAGCAGCTCGCTCCGCCTCGTTCCTTGGTTTCCTGAGAGACTAGCTTCATGGCAGAAGAATGACAGGAGCTGTGCGCATCACCCCCAACTCTGGGAAGGTTTTAGGCCCCTGCTGCCAGCTGCTCATAAACTCCATATGAGTGTTTGGTAGCAGGGCCTCTTAAAAGAGCATGGTTCTTGCTACTAATGCTGAGTCAGGAAGCCCTCTCTTAAAGGGACTGTGCCTTTGCTTACCTCTAGCAAATAGAGCCTATTTGGGGGGAAAAATGCAGCTACCAAAAAACCATTTTTGACTCTGCTTTTGTGTGTCTAGAATCCTTTAAAAAAAAAAAAAAAAACTTTCTGAGGCTTTATATAGATGTATGTACCCCAAGTTGGCGCTATTGTAACTGAACATTTCGCTTCCACCTGACAGTTCCCACGGAGGTTTAATATTAATTACACACTGATTGGCCTATTAGCTCAGGATTATTATTAACTAGCTCTTAAAATTTAAATTAATCCATTTCTACTAATCTATGTATCACTACATGGCTTTGGCTTACCAGTAAATCTCTGGCAGCTACACGATATCTGCCTGACTCTGCCTTCTTTCTCATTGTAATTCTGTTTGGATTTCATACCTAGCTATATTCTTCCCTGCCATATGCCAAAACAACTTTATTCATCAACCAATAAAAGCAACACATATTCGCAGCATACAGAAGGACATCCCACACACACTGATCCATTGGATTGCTTGCCAGTTTTACAATCAGTAACATGGGATCCCTCCAAATAAGAGAAGGAAGGCTCTGTCATCACCAGCCCAGTGTCCTCTAGACATGGTCTACTGTCTGGACAGAACAAACAGCAACAAAAGCAATGTGAAGTCAATGTCGTTTTCACAATCAGAGTTCTGTCTTTCCCAATTCCAATCCTAAACCAAATATTAAAAATTGGCTATACCCCTGTATTTTACTTCAGTATATAACTTTATCTCTTTTTCTATATGTATTATCATTGATATACATAAATTCTCTCTTGTTTTTACAGATGATGGGATGGTTAATATGAATGAGGTCATAGACAAAGGGAGTCTTTTTACAGGTGGGTCACTAATCATTCCTAAGCTTCTGTTAAGGACCCTACATACAACCATCCAGGTGCTTCAAGTAGTTGAATCTTCTGCAGTTGAGGAAAAACATGTACAAACAAATGCAATAATATCATGGGTGTTATTTTAAAAGTCTCATAAATAGAAAAGGATCTGCCAGGCAGTGGTGGTGCAAACCTTTAATCCCTGTATGTGAACGTCTGTGATTTTGAGGCCAGCCTGGTCTACAGAGTGAGTTCCAGAACAGGCAGGGCTACACAGAGAAACCCTGTCTCAAAAAAACAAAAACAAAAACCAGTTGATAGAACTGTTAGGAAAGGATTAGAAGGTGTGGTTAAAAAAAAAGAAGAAGAAGGAGAAGGAGGAGGAGAAGGAGGAGGAGAAGAAGAAAGGATCTAAGGATTTCTCAAGGGGCAGAGCACTGGAGTACAGGAACTGATCCTTAAAAAGTACATCAGTGTTTTCCAGACACAGTAAGTTGGGCATCCCTGATAGAGAGATAAGTACAAAGGGTAAAATAAGTAATTTGTTATGTGATATTTGATCTCACACTGTGTGAAAGGCTCCTTCTGATTGGTTTAAGAAAGAGCTGAATGACCAATAGCTAGGCAGGAGAGATTAGGCAGGACTTCTGACTCGGGGTTAGAGTCTGGGCACAGGGAGACACAAGCAAGACACGGAGCAAGTCAGATGAGCAGCATGGAGGAGAGGTTAAAAAGCCACAAGGCAGATATAGATTAATAAATACAGGTTAATTTCAGTTACAAGGGCTAGTTGGGAACAAGCCTTAGCTACAAGCCAAGCTTTCATAATGAATAATAAATCTCAACAACATTATTTGGGGGCTGGCAGCTGAAAAGACAGTCCAACTACAGAAATTGAATCAATTTAGCATAAACCATAAGACTAGGGCATATCGGAAGGTCCGTGTCTTGTCAAAAGCAGTTAACAGACAAGGATGTGATTCCACTGTGGCTGTAATCCCCAGAGCTGCTGACAGGCAAGCTTTAGGAACCCCAGTGGCCCAACTTCACAGAAAAGGCCTTGAAAGTTCTTGGGGGAAACAGCCCTGTACCTGTACCTCTTTCCTCCAGTCATTTGTGCAGATGAGCCTCCAACCCCCCACCCCAGGCATTCTCTCCAAACAGAAGCTTTGCTTGTGGGCTCTAGGAACTGAAAACAGGAGTTTGCTTATGCTGTCTGGCATTAGGTTTTTCTGCTTAGACCGTATCATAGAGTTAGAAAAGAACCAATGTGAGGGAAATTTCCACACAGCCATGGAGAAGATTGGGAGGGGGAAAGGTTATGTGGGTATTTACAACCTAATAACCGAGAGTGAAGAACAAGCGTGATACCAAGCAGACTTCTCTGCTTGTTTCTCACCCATGTTTGTGAAATAGTCTGTGATCCTGCGTGTTTCCCTCCAGTACTTTACATTATATACTTGAAAAATATTTTTAAGAGCCTGGTGGTGGTGGTGCACACCTTTAATCTCAGCATGCAGGAGGCAGAGGCAGGTGGGTCTCTGTGAGTCTGAGGCCATCCTGGTCTACAGAGTGAATTCTGGGACAGCAAGGACTACACAAAGAAACCTTGTCTCTGGGGTGGGGGGAATCCCTGCAAGCTAGTATTTCTAGACAGGAACAGAGGTGAACTTAATTTACAGAGGAAACCCAGGATCCACAGTGGGTGGTAATTGCTATCAAGAAGAGAGAAAGAAGATCCACCAAATCTATAAGGTCTGACAGAGCCAGCTGAGTTAAGGTTTTTAAAAGCCCTGAAGAAAAAAAAGCATCATGTAGTGACATGGTGTGTGATTGAGACTGCAGGGGGCTTGGAAGATGGCTCTGTAGGGAAGAGTGCTGGCTATACAAACATAATAGCCTGAATTTGAATCTCAAAATCCACATAAAACGCCAGTGTGGCCACACTGGCCCTTGTGACCCCAGTGCTGTGAGGGTGGAAACAGGAGGATTGCTGGGGGGTTCTGGCTGCCAGCATAGCTCCAGGTTCAGGGAAAGACCTTGTCTCAAGGAAATAAGGCAGAGTGGTAGAGCAGGGAACCAACATTCTCCCATTGGCCTCTGTGCATACTTGCATAGGTGTGTGCATTTGCACACAGTCCATACATGTACACACACATACTCCATACACTGCACACAACCACACATGCACACCAAGCACAAAAAACCTGAAAAATCAGATTCTAATTGTTTTTCATAAAGTTATAATCAATACTGTTTTCCTTGTCGGCACATGCCCTCACTCTATTTATGGGTAAATGTTTACATATAATTTTCCAGTCTAACTTTGATCATCATTGTTTCGGCCAAAGCCTCTATATTTTGTCTTAGTGGTTTCTTACATTCTTGTCCACTTGATTTCATTAAAGTTTACTTAGCAAAGACTAAGTAACCTTTTTCTGTAGAATTACAATTCTTCATATTGTCAACTGTTAGCACTTTTGGCTTTTTAAAGGTGATAAACTTGACCTTCTGGACCTGGATGATTACCTGGAAAACATGGGGATAAAACTCACAGAGGACAAGATGATGAAACTGCTGGGCAAACTGCCAACTGACGGTAAGCATTAGAGGATGCCACAGGAGCCTCGGACAAGTAGCAATTGTATAGATTTGTGTGATGAATTTCCATGCCCCATGCTACCCATCACCAACATGTCACCAACAGATTTGTTTTAATTCCTGAGTTTCATTATCAGAATGAAAATGTTAATTGTTAGAATGAAACATTTTTAAAGTTTCTGCTTCTTAAGTTACAGACATTTATCCCACTTCTGAGTAACGGCATTATTTCCTGAGACTTGACATTTCTGTCTTACAGCTAATGGAAGACTATACAAGAAAAGGTTGTTAAAAGAACTGGAGAATATTGAAGGTATGATGATTTCTTTCTTGGCAGGTGACACTGAGGTCCTTGAACCATGCTGTGGTTTTCAGACACTCTTCCTACTTTGCAATTTTTAGATTGTTCATCTTGCCATCCCTACTCTTTAGACCAAAATGGTTTCCCTATAAAAGTCCCAGAAACAGTGGTTCCTCTACAAAGCCAAATGATAGAAACATCAGGAAATAACAGCACTTAGAGAACTAGGCACATTTCCAACAATATTAATCTTGAATTTCCAGTGATAATATTTAGGGGGAAAGTTATTTTATAGTTTCCCATTGTATTATAATAAAAAGTAAATGTAAACAGTGGAAAAGAAAAACTGTTGCCTATATACAACAGAACACTGACTGGTCATTACAAAATAAATAATATCTCCTTATTCACAACAACATGAATAGAAGTGGATACTATTGTATTAAGTGAAATGAACCAGGCACACCTCACACACAAAACAGACACCAAGTGATCTCTTTTATATATGTAATCTAAAAACATTGATCTCACAGGAGTTTAGAATGGTGGTCAGGGATGGGGAGAGCAGAAGGGGGCACTCGGATGAGGACAAGAAACCCTGCCAGCTACCATGCAGTAGGTTGGCTACAGACAGTGGCACCATTTCAGAAAGTTAGAAAAAAGAAAAGAATTCGGAAGGTTTTAGCCATAAAGAAATGACGAATGTTTGGGAAAAATAGACATGTTCAACCTGATTTGAATCAGGTATTGGAATCCATACATATATGTTTGTTTGTTTATTTTAGTGTATCAGTAAAAATATTACTTTGGACCAGCAGTAAAGGTGCTTGCTACCAAGACTGAGGGTGTGAGTTTGATTCGTAGAACCCAAAAGAAGGCGAGAACTGACTCCTAGGAGTCATCCTCTGACCTCCACATACATACACACTGTAACACAGGAGCATTCTACACACACACACACACACACACATACACACACACACACACAATTAAAAATAAATAAGTTTAACTTTTAAATAAATTTCCTAGAGAATTGTGATGTAATAAATCCATAGACTTTATTTTTCTCCATTAATTTCAAGTTTCAAAACCTATTATATAGGTACATTGACAAATACTGGTTTGGGTCTTTAATAGAAACTCCAAACTCCTCACTTCCTTCTCTTCAAATTCCTTCTAAAAGCTAGGATCAAGGTATTACTCAAGGAGAGTATTCAACTAGCATGTTCACACCCTGAGTTCAGTCATCAGTACATGCAACACACACACTCACACAGCTGTAACAGAGTCTCAAGAACAAGAGTTAAGAGTTCACACTAAGGTATCAAAAACATTGTTAATGGAGTAGTTTAAATGCCCTTCGCCCCTCCTTGTCTGAAAAACACTGACACTTAGGCATGACCTTGAATGACCTATTGACTCCTCATATTTCTCAAATCCTTCTTTTCTAAGGGATAAAGATTCCTTCAAATAAGGTGGGAGAGTTCATTAAAAATGCAGACATTAAACTCGATGATAAAGACATCCAGATACTGATGGACCGTCTGCCAGTTGATCGTGAGTTGACCTCCTAATAAAACTTGTAACATGAGCCTAGTGGTGGATCTGGGACGAGAAGAGGATGTACATAAAAAGAAGGGAAATAAAATGTAGTCTTCACACATAGCTACCAAACTGAGCCCAGTGGCCACTACTTGGGAAGAGACACCAAGAGCACCAACACAAATGACAAATGTCTATAGCCTCCACTTAACAACATAGGAAATGCTGGGCTCAGACAAAAATATGGAGAATATTAATATTTTGGTTCATGGTGCAATTCCAGTTGTAAATATCACTGAGTAACACCACACAGTTCTAGCATTTGGGAGGAATTGTGGTGATATGTTGTTTATGATCTAATAAAGCCACTGAAGACCAGAATGCAAAGCCAGTTAGCCATAGAAGCTGGGAAATGGTGGCACACGCCTTTAATCCCAGGACTGGGGGGTGGGGAGGAAGATGGATCTCTGAGTCCAACACCACCCTGGGCTACACAAGAGTGAATCAGCCTAAAAGAGAAACAGAGCTCACACCTTTCATTCCAGCACTAGAGAGGTATAAAAGGAAGAAGCAAAAGGTCTCATGTGAGATTCAGTTTCCAGACAGAGAGAACATTGCAGTCAGCGTTGCACTCTGAGGATTCCTGGAGACAGGATCGCCCATTTCAGTCTGAGGTAGAGGTAAAAGCTAGTGGCTAACTGCTTTGCCGCTCTGATCTTCAGCTTGAACCCCAATATTTGCCTCTGCACTTTTATTAGCCATGTTACAGAATTAAATGTATCCAGTGGATTTACATTTTAATTTGGGAAATGTTGAGTAAAGGAAGTAACTATATGGTGTATGAGAGTGTCCCTTGCAAAGCAAAGGTCTATCATAAGTGAGCAATATTAAACACATCAATATGACAGTTATTGAGGTTCCAAGAGCAGCCAGGAGTAGAGCAATACTCTCATTTATCAGAAAGGACTAAACTAACGACAGATTTGAGGCTAAATTGAAGGAGAGTGCTTTGTCTTGCATTGTGCTATGTGGGTACTTATAGTGGAGATAGAAGTAGCTATATTAATCAAATTGATGAGGATCAGACATGAAAGATATAAACTTCATAAAATGTTTTTCAGGTGAGTAAATACAGATTTCTGTTTTATAATTCACAACTTAGTGTTTTCATATCATTTTATGCTTTTTTTTTCTTAAGGTAATGGGAAGACCGATTTACGTGTGATGATGAATGAAATTAAGAAGATCACAGGTGAGGAGCTGTTAAAATGAATATTATATTGTATGGTCTTTACATTTTATATTCAAATATGTTTTAAGATAACATAAAAATCAAAGAAATTTCAAGCTTAAACTATATCATAGATTAAACAGACTTAACTCACCTCAAGTTCTTAGAAAAGCTAGAACAAGTACAAACCAAGAGCCATGGGTACCAGTAAAGATTAGGGTAGAAATGAATGAAGACTAAAAGTATAACACAGAATCAATTGAGTAAAAACTTAGATCTTTGAAGAGGCAAACTCTCTGCCAAACTAGTAAAATGAGAGGGAAAATATGGGTTATAACAGATTTGAGGAAAATCCAGAGCATCATTAGGGAAATGCTTTGAAAACTTTGGTTCCAAAAAAAAATTGGAAAATCTGTTTTTTTAATGACACTTACTTAGACATGACTTTCCAAAATCAAATCAAAAGAATGTAAACAATTGAAACAGATGCATACAGAGTGACAAGACTGAGAGGGGTGGAGAAGAACCCCAGTCAATCAAATTTCTACAGCATGTGCATGGATGCCTGAGTCCAGGTCCCCAGAACCCGCACTTAAAACCAAAAACACCTGGAGTGAGCACACACAAATCCCTGGGGCTCGATGGCCAGTCAGCCTAGCCAATCAGTGCATCCCAGGTTCAGTAAGAGGCTGCCTCAAAAACAAAAGGTAAAAACAATAGAGGAAGATACCTGAAGTCAACCTATGACCTACACACACACACACACACACACACACACACACACGCACGCACGCACGCACGCACGCACACACGCACACACGCACATCACAAACACATACTCAAAAATAATTAAAAATAAAAACGAGATTGAAGAAGCAATAAAAATTCTCCTCACAGCCAGGTGGTAGTGGTGTGTGCCTTTAATTCCAGTACTTGGAAGGAACAAGCAGGCAGATCTCTGTGAGTTTGAGGCCAGCCTAGTCAATAGAACTAGATCCAGGACAACCAGGGCTACACAGAGAAACCCTGTCTCAGAAAAAACACAACATAAAACAAACAAACAAAAAAACTCCCTACAGAGTAAGCTCTAAACAATATGGCATCTCTGCTGAATTTTATTTAACACTTAAGGAAGACTAATACCCCTCAAAATGTTCTACAAAGGATGCAGGGAAGACAATTGCTATACAGACTCACTCTACAATACCCAGCCTACAATCCACAACCCCAGAGAAGATAAAGCCCTCTTCTAGAAACAGTTGGAAGCCGATGCAGAAATCCACAATTAACCAATGGACCAAGCTCCTGGAGTACAATCAAAGTAAGGGAGGAGCAATAATATGAACAAAGGAGTCAAGACCATGATAGGGAAACGCACAGAATCAGCTGACCCAAGCTAATGAGAGATCACTGACTCCAGTCTGACAAATGGGGAACCTGCATAAAACCGAACTAGACTCCATTAATAAAGGTGACAATGATGTGACTGGAACAATATATGAGGTCACTGGCAGAGGGTCCAAGGTCAAACACTAATGCACAAACTGACTTAGTGGAGTCCATTCTATATGGAGAAATACCTTGCCCAGCCTAGACACAGACGTGTCAGAGATGGGGAGGAGCCTTGTTCCTGACTCAACTAGATGACGGGACAGACTTAGTAGACTTCCTAGGGGAAGCCTGGCCCTCTCTGAGGAGCAGATGGGAGGGGAGGTAGAGTAGAGGGTGAGGGAGGAGAAGGAGGGAGGGAGAACTGGGATTGGAAATAAAAAATAAATTTAAAAAATACCTACAAATCAATTTCAAGAACACATTAAGAGCATACATAGGTCAGGATCAAATTGGTCTAAGCTCAGAGAAACAAGACTTATTCTGCATATGCAAATCAGTGTCTACTTGAAGTCTGATAGGTAAGGTAAGAGAAAATGGATGTAAATAAGAAAGCAAGAATTCAAAGTATCCTTGCTTCCAGATAATATGATCATATACTTAAAGGGCATTAACATCTCTTCTAGAAACCCTTAGAGCTGATAAAACATTTTCAGTGAGGTAATAGAATACAAAAAATCAACATACAAAATAAACCAATATACCAGTATACCAATAACAAACTTTTTTCTTTTTTTTCAAAGATTTGTTTATTTATTATGCATACAATAACAAATTTGCCAAGAAAGAAATCGGGGTATGGAGGCAGCTTTTAAGCATATAGATTAATGCTAAGGGATAAATCTAAACGAGGAGGTGAAAGACCTCCACAATGAAGACTTCAGGGGAACTGCAGAAGACACAGCTGTATAACCCTATCACTTCACTCTAGAGGCAGGAAGACTGGGACTTCGGGATCATCCTCCGTTATATAGCAATTTTAAGGCTGCTTGGGCTACATAGGACCCCCTCAGAAGAAAGGAAGAAAGATAAGGGGAGGGGGAAGGAGGAGGAGAAAGCAAGGGAAGAAGGGGAAATGCCATAATGATACCCGTTACTTTGGATAGTAACATTAAAATTTTAAATTTTTATTTGAGGGAGATATGATTCTTGCCCTCTCAAACTTAAAATAATTATATAGAATAAATTCTCTTATGTTGTCATTTTGTAAACATGACGTAACAGACAAAAGGAGAAAGTGAAGGCAGTAGAAGGGCTAGCGAAAGAGTAACAAACAAACTAACGGAAAAGAAAACAATAGAATTACGGCAGTTGAGAGATGGTGCTGCAGCTAACAATGCCTGAGCTGCTGCAGAAGACCCAAGTGTGCTTCCCAACACCCAACAGGCCGCTCTCAACCACAGGTAACCCCAGCTCTAGGGAACCAGATGGCCTCTGCAGGCCTCCTTGGCCTTTGAACTCGTGCACAGGCCACACATGTAATTAAAAATTAAAATATTTTTAAAGAAAGAGTAGTTATTTTAATGGCTGAATTTCTTGTATTGACCATTCACAAACATCTAACTTACTGAGAAGTTATATGATCCCCATTTTACTCGTTATATGACGGACAGTGTAGGCTTCAAGAGATTCCCCTTTTACTTGTTTAAATTTCTTGTGTTTTTTCTAGTTATCATATGTTTGACTGAGCTAGTTTGTTTTGAGATAAGATATATACATACATACATACATACATACATACATACATACATACATACATATCCCAGACTGACAAGACTTCTCATCCTCCTGCCTCAGCCTCCCCAGTGCTGAGATTTCTGGCATGGGATACTACACCCAGCTGACAGAAAAACTCTTCCTCCCTGTCTTTTTGTTTTGTTTTTCAAGACAAGGTTTCTCTGTGTGCCCCTGGCTGTCCTGGAACTCACTCTGTAGACCAGGCTGGCCTTGAACTCACAGAGATCTTCACATACCATCACTGCCCAGCTCTTCCTCCCCTTCTTGACACTGAAGAGTTAACACATCCTCCTTGGGTCAACAAGGATGAGTCTCGCATGTGTGTTATATGTACACATTTTATTTGTACAATGTTATAAAATACATAATTCTATAGTCTCACCGAAAATTTTTCTTTTTCCTGAAGGAGAAAAGATTCATGCAAAAGATGTAAAAGATATTCTGAAAAACATGGGGATAGAAATGACAAATAAGGAAAATAAAAAACTGCTCAAAAGTCTACCCATTTCTGGTAAGCTTTACATGTTGTTTTCACTGATAACTAAAAATGCACTCATTCATCAAGTATTAACTACTATCTACACATACATGACTCTGTCCTGAACCACAGAAGAAATGGGGACTGCTTCCATTGCCTCAGGTTCCTGTTGTCAAAAAGAA